CGCTACATGCCACACAGCTCGCGATTCTATGGCCATTTTGAGGGAAAACTTCGGAGAACAATTCATCTCAAGAAATGGACCGGTAAGTTGGCCACCAAGATCATGCGATTTGACGCCTTTAGACTATTTTTTGTGGGGCTACGTCAAGTCTAAAGTCTACAGAAATAAGCCAGCAACTATTCCAGCTTTGGAAGACAACATTTCCGAAGAAATTCGGGCTATTCCGGCCGAAATGCTCGAAAAAAGTTGCCCAAAATTGGACTTTCCGAATGGACCACCTAAGACGCAGCCGCGGTCAACATTTAAATGAAATTATCTTCAAAAAGTAAATGTCATGGACCAATCTAACGTTTCAAATAAAGAACCGATGAGATTTTGCAAATTTTATGCGTTTTTTTTAAAAAAAAAGGTATCAAGCTCTTAAAAAATCACCCGTTATATAAAGGTACACATTTATGTATATGTGAATGTGTATGTTTATGCAGGTTATACACTAAAATTATTGACAGAGCAGTGGAAAGTCGAAATGGCGATTGTGTCGTTGTATTTTTTTAGTTTTGGTGTAGTGTTTTGGGTGCCTGCATATTGGCGGAAGAATTTCACATGGGTTACTGTCGCTTACGCAACTTTGCGTGTTTGGTGGTTGGTCGCTGTGACTTGTTAACACAACGAAAATACATTTCTATATGCTTAAGTAATTTTCGTTTCAAATTCGCAATTTTTTTTTATATTAGTCTACGTATATATATAGGTAGTAGTATATGTATGTACTAATGGTTACACGTAACTTACTGATATGCTATTTAACGCGTATATGTATGTACATTAGTGTGGTCCAAAAATGCATGTAAAAAAGTAGAGTCGAAATTTGTATGCATATACGGGGTGACCCTACTATACCGATCGAAAAATATAGACTTTTAAGAATTCTATACCATTTTTACAAAAAAATTGTTTCCTCATATAAAATACAAGGGGCACTTTGAGCGCTTTGAGCGGCCTCTAAATATTTTTTTATTTCAAAATAAAAAATAGGGGTATATTTTCTTCTACACATAGAACAATCCTAAACTTTACTTTTTTTTGGACAACCCTAATGTGCATACTTCAGTAACTCGAAGTAAATCAAGGCGTTAAAGTGTTAGAGAGCAAATATCGTCGCTACCATATCAAATTATCGAATGTGCAAAAATGTTTTTTTAATTTTTGAAACTCATTTATACAAAATTGCTGCTGGCATTATCGATGATATACTCAAAATTTCGATAAATCTGTTTTTGGTGCTTTACGAACAGGTTTAAGATTGTCATTGTTTGCTATAATAGTTTTCTATACATTTATTTTAAATAATTTAGTTTAGCATACAAAAGTAAGTTATATTAAAAATTAAGTTATCATTCTTTAGCTGATACCAGAAACTTTCATAAGAACTTATGAACGTGATACATCCTAGAATTCAGAGCCACTTTAAATCAAGCTTTTTATTTGTATCGTAGTTTTACCACTCGGATCTTCGAACTATGGAATTCTGACTTTATGTAGTCTAATCTTATTTACCGAAAGTTTTTTTTTTACGGAAGATTTTGGTAAATACTTCGCACCCTAAATAAAAAACCGGCACAACTCAAAATTTGTCAAAATTTATTTTTTTCCATAAAACAGTTCCAGACCGTATACCCAACGTCCGCGAAAATTTCTTCCTCATCACTATCTTCTTTAACTGGAAAAATACTACTAAAACTTTTTAGTTTTGCTTGCATCAATTGCACAGCGTCAACAGTTTTTTGCCTCTCCTGAACATTTAGGATTTTTTGAGTTGTGCCGGTTTTTTATTTAGTGTGCGACTTGTAAAATTTGTTCTGATGACAAACCGGTTTCGGGGTTGTGCCATCTTTTGCGTTATTTTTTGTTTTTTTATTTGATGAGACGGCTTTGGGGGCTTTCGAGAGCCTATTCTAAGCGTTAAAGCACAGTTACCCACGGACGTAAAAACGGATAACGTGTCAGCTGACACGATATATCACAACAAAAACTCACCACCGCATGACCGTGACGTAGATGTTGCTTCTCTCTCTTTCTATCAAAAGCAAACTTGATGTGTTTCTACGTACTTCTACGCTACGCTACATACGCGTTCGCGGGTAACCGCGCTCTTAGAGTAGGAATGGTCCGGAGCGTTCTGCAGGATTCGAAGGATTGGTGACAAGAGGCATTTATTTTTTTTATTTGGCACTTTGGGTCGACACCAGAACTCTTCGTCAACTGATTCTATTCACTTCGAAGTGGCGTAGCTGCAATTATATAAGCTGCACGTATTATGTTTTCTAACGTAAGATTGAAGGAGACACACGAAAGTACCGACAAGAAGAGCGAAGGAAGGCCATCAACGTGCGTACACGTCGAATTGGAGGTAATTTCGGACAAAGACCCATGCCAAATCCAAAAAGAACTAGCGGCAATATTAGACGTGATGTTTCATTACGATTGAAATCTTTCGGTATGGTATTGAAAGTCGGAAAACTGGGTGACTCACGAACTAAAACCAAGAGATATCGAACGGCATGGCAAATGGACTCATTAAGACAATCCAAAGCGCCAGGAGATGTATGTTAAGCACGGCGAACGCGGACCATCGACGTAAAAGCCAAATATCCATAACAGCAAGATAATGCTTTGCAGTGGGTGGGACTAGAAGGGAATCCTTTCGATGGGGCTCTCTACAGATAATAATCCATGCATTACCAGAAAAGTGGGAAAAAGTCATAGCTAGAGGTGAGTAATACTTTCAATAAAATGCACTGTACCAATTTGTCACAATACATTTTCCAAATCGAGAAAGAACCCTTACTTGTTTAGCGCATAAAAACTTTTTTGGTCACTGATCACGGAGCGCACCTGGATCTTACCGATTGGTAGGCTGTAACTAAGTATAACCACTCGTTTATGCCGCCTGTTACGTATAATGACGCTAAATTTTTTGAATTTGCTAGCGATTCGTCACACATATATGCACATAGTGTTGCACAAATGACCAAATATTTCCTTTACATACAAATGCACTTATGTCTGAATTAACAAAAGGTAGCGAGTGAGCAGTTAAATGTTATCTACGTCACAAGTTACCTTGACATAACCCAACGATATTTGTTTGCTAGCTGCTGGTTGGTATAGCCATTGCAACAAATTTCGTGATCGGCACACCCAATGAAGAATGAAATGAAAGCGAAAAGATCGGAAATTGGCAAGGACGGCAACGAAAAAAAGTAAAATGAGGAATAACCAGCATTTACTGGTAACTGCCTTTTTATGCATGAGTAAGATTAGTGGCATTTAGTAGGGCTCTCGGGTAGCCCGTACGAATGATGATATTAGTAGCTTAGCAGCAATTGTTGGTGCTCTAGCGCTTAGGCAGTAAAAGTCATGTGAGCGAGGGAGTATATACTACAAGCTGCGAAAATTGCGGCAAAACAAAATTGTAAAAAAAATCGCCAGCTTTGGAGAAGACTGCACCGCTCCCAGAGTAAGCAGAGAAGCTTCGCGACTGGTTACTACTACTGCACATAATTTGCCTAAGTTTAACTCTCACTTACAGCAATTGTAACCGCAAACTGAGCGAAAATTGTTGCATATCGTGTACAGTGTTGCCAGGTTTTTGGCATGAGAAAACGTCCCTCTTGGCATGAAAAAACGTCATTTCCTACCCAAAAACGTCTTTTCCATGTATGCACACAGAATTGTTCTTATTAAACTTTTATTGTAGACAAAGGTACATATGTACGTAAGGTATATTAAAATGTCATTTTAACAGAGCACATTTAAAATTCATTGGTGATATTCACCAAAGTGAGCAAGTGGCCTGGCACTCTGGTAAAATAGCAGATGAGCTCAAGCAACGACTGTTGACAACAATTTGGTGAATACCACTATTGTAAACTGGTTTGAGATCATTAATATAAAAATCATGTTATACATACACTTGTGATCAGCTGATTAAGTCATCAACATTTTGATCGATTTAGGCTGTTTTTCTTTTGTTTATTTAATGTTTATTATTGTTTCATAAAAGCCCAGCTCATTATATAACTAACACAATATAAATCCACATTTCAAACTTATAAAAAATTATAAAAAATCTGCAAAGTTTCAGCTAGATTTTCAAGTTTTTATTCAGATTTTTTAGAATTTTTTTGAGTATGCGGTTTGATAGCCCATTAAATTCCAGGGTAATAATGTGCAAGTTTAAAGTTGCTAAAGAATAGCGTTGATTTTTAATATTTTTTTTTCTTGTACACATTGGGTAAGGTGGTTGGTTGTCGAAAATGCTAAATTACGTTCTGCTAAGACGGAACATAGTGCTTTTGCAAGCGTGCGTGTTGCAATAGATCAGCTCTTCCTGATTTGGCTTTTAATATGCAATTGCAAACATGGTAATAAGCCTTGTAATCTCAAGTATTTACACAACCAGCCTTTGAACGCGTCCAAAGAATAAATACCTTTTGAGGCACCTGCTGCATAAGCTTGTAAAGATTTATTAAGAAAATAATTCAAAATCAGTTCTACTTACAAGATTTAGTAACAAATTTGCCGAAAGTGTGAGCGTAAGTACTTACTCTACAAGCAAATAGTACCCTATACATTGGATATATTGTGCATAGAGAAAAATTACTGGGAAGTTAAAAAACGTCATTTTTTACACAAAAAACGTCCAAACGTCAACAGGATACAAAAAAACGTCCAAATGACGTTAAAAACGTCAACCTGGCAACGCTGATCGTGTATCGCGTCAGGTTCTCTATCAGACAATTTATCTCTCAGCTGGAGCTGTTGGTGGAATTTCGAAAGACACTTACCTATATTCCACTAGCAGAGCGTCTTTGTCGCTAGTTGAGGGGTTGTGCAACACAAACACACACAGGGACGTACACATACATACAGACATATGTATCATACTCATTTGTTGTTGGTTTTGTTTGCATATAGAGTAGCTTCGTTTGGCGCCATTGCAACAGCAGTTGCTGCTGTATATCTTAAGTTGCTGCTATATTTTGCGCTCTTGGCGCGCTCAGACAGAGAAAGCAACTTGCGAGATTGTAAAGTGAAGAAAGAAAGGGGGTCACAACTTTCACGCGATATAAAAATCATGATACCAATTCGGCCGGGCCGCATTTTCACGTCAACGCTGCGCCTAAAGAGAGGTCGTTTGTGTTTTGGTTTTTATTCGTCGTCTACCAGCTAGCTTGTGTGCTGCGACTCAAAGTGTAAGAAAATTGATACGCTTGTGAATTTTCGATCGACGTCCTTCTTAGTGACATTAACCCAAAAATCATTACAATTAAATAAAGAAACAAAAAAAAATACAATTTCAATTGGAACTCAATATTTTCTCACACATGAAATTTAACGATTAATAAAATTTGAAATTCAAATAGTGCCAAGTGCAATAAAGAAACACATAAATTTGCGGCTGCTATTTAAACTATAGTGAGCGTGGAAAGCTTTAAAAAAATCTGATAATATAAAAAAAAATCTGTTAAGTTTGAAGAAGCAATTAAAACGATCGTGATTAAAAAAAAATAAAATAAAAATTGCAAACAAAATTGGAAACTTTTGTGAAGAAACAGTAACAAAAAAGCGAACGTGCCATTTTGATATTTTGATTGGATTAAGCAAAAAACACAGAAACACATATAAAAAAAATAGGAAAGGAGTAAGCTGCAATTTAAAAGAGCTGTACAACACAAGTGAAAGGATTACAATAACTATCCAAGCAGGTGAGTTGGAAAACAGAAAAAAAAACAACAAAAATAGTAACATTCGAAAAAAGTGTTGTCTTGCGACTTTCTTAAATCATATAATGATGTACATAGTCAATCGGGAGATATGCGCTGAAGCGAAAGTCCTGCAATAAAAATAATATGACGTGTGGTAAAAACAAAGCCCATTTCAGATTAAAATCACTCGTCTGTTTTAAAAACAAGTGCATAACTGTGATATTTTTTGTTAGAATTCAAATATGAAAATTTATAATTTCCAAAGAGCCGAAAAAGGCTGTGTGATTGACGGTCGTTTTTTAATAAGTATGCTAGAAAATTATTACAACGGCCTGCCACGATGGGTATACATATGTATATACATACATCGACACTATCAGATGTTTTTGCGACGTTGCTTTGACCAGGGCTTGAACCCAGGCCTTGCGGAGTAGTAGCGCGCACTGCTAAATTCCCAAGTCTGGAATAAAACACGAAATCACAAAAATCTCGAAAGGTTCAGAAAAAAAATCGAAACACTCGGGATCGTACAAGAAAATTTCGAAAAGTCCTATAAAATATAAAAAACACCGAAGTATATCATGTTTTTTATCATTACTTAACAAGCAAAAAGGAAAATATTGCAAATTTTTCTCTTCTTAAATCATCTTGTGAACTTAGCCTTTTCTTTTTGCCTTATAAAACTAAAATTATTTAAAATCAGCAATAAACAAGTAAGAAAGACTAAGTTCGGGCGGAGCCGAACATTAAATACCCGGCGCAAGTATTAAATATATGTTTTTTCAACTTTCCGAAACCTACCGCTAGATGGTAAGCCAGGGTGTATCAATTTTGAGTAAATTAGCGTCCTTAAATTTCGAAATATTGCAGTTTCAAGCATTTCTGAAATTTACCGTTATATGAAAAGCGGCCGTAATTTTAGTCCGATTTCAATAATTTTCAACGTTTTGCTTTTATGTGGCAAGTACAATAAAAATACCAAGTTTGGTACAAATTGGTAGAACTGTTACCGATATACATATATGTGATCATAAGTGGGCGGTGCCACGCCCATTTTCCAAACTTTTACCATAAACGTATTTCTTGGTAAAGAATTGTTGCAAGTATCAATTTTGAATAAATTAGCTTTAATATTTACTGATTCATCGAAGATTTTGTATTTCTCTAAATTACCGTTGCATGAGATGTGCACGTGGTTATTGTCCGATTTTTTAAATTTTCGGCCATTTAGTATGCTATACCAAGGCCAACAACTGTGCCAAGTTTCGAAGAAATTGGTGTAGCGGTTACCAAGATATACACATGTAACCATAAGTGGGCGTGACTACGCCCATTTTCCAAAAATTTATAATATTCTGAAAATTATTGTAAATATCAATTTTGAGTGAATTATCTTCAGTAGTTACTAAAATATCGCACTTTTCGTATTTCTGGAAATTACCGTTATATGGGAAGTGGGCGTGGTTACAGTCCGATTTCGCCCATTTTCAATACCAACCTACCTTGGATTAATGCAAACCTACATACCAAATTTCGTTGAGATATCTCAATTTTTGCTCGAGTTATCGTGTACACGGACAGACGGACAGACGGACGGACAGACAGACATGGCTTAATCGACTTCTCTATTCATTCTGATCATTGATGTATGCATTTGTCTATATCTATCTCGATTCCTTTTGGCTGTTACAAACAACCGTTATGTGAACAAAATTAACATACCCTTGTGCACAAGTGCGCTCAGGTATAAAAATCATAATGGCGGCTGCAATGGTCGAGTGGTTAGAGGTGCGCATGACCACTTGGTAAGTCCAGGGTTCGATTCTGGAAAAAAATAGAAATCACAAACGATTTAAAAAAAGTAAAATAAAAAATATTTTCGAAAAAGCGTCATACTTTTTCACTATGGATTATTGTTATTGAAATCAAAGATATTTTATTAATAATATCTGTTATAAATCGGCTAACAGCTACCTGCTCAGCTTCTGATGAAGAAATAAAAGAAGAAATTACCAAGTATTTTGTATTCTCAAAACAGACCATGCACTCATAGGTGACCAAATAAAATACCGTAAACTCGTACAAACAAATGCAATGGCTTTTTACCAAGGGGCAGCAGCAGCATCACTAATCGTACAATGCAATTTAAAGCTACATCGCGGCATATTGCAACCAAATACATATGCATGTATGTATGTACATTAGAGTGGTCCACAGGAAAATCCACTTTTCCGAATTGTAGAAAATGGAAAACAGAGAGATTCGGATCAATGTTCAACCGTGCCGCCGGGCACAGTGGAGCAAACGTAAAATTGACGAATTCTTATTTTTTTATTGAAAGAAAACTAATTAAGAGGTTTAAGAAGCTATTTATATCTGGAAAATTCGTTAGCCGATCAAAATAATTGGTATATCAAATGAAAAGCAATGGAATTTTCTATATTTTGATATATAACATATATATTTATATTTTGATACATAATTATTTCTTTATTAAATATACACGTTTTCGAGGTATTTACAAAAATAAAAAGGAGCTTTTTTTGAAAAAATGGGACAATTTTCGATTTGTATTTTTACTCATTTCTAAAAAATAAACATTTAACAATTTAACGCCTGGTGTCAAGCAAACAATTGTTTTTTTTTTCAATTTTGTTAAAAAGACTATAAAAAAATTAATTTAAAAAAGTAGACCCTTAAACCTCTTAATAAATTAATTATCTTTCAATTAAAGCAAAAAATTGAAAGTCATTAAAAAATTGTAGGCTTAGACCTTTTTGAATAATATATTTCGTGTTGGCACCAAAACAAAAAAGGTTTTGGGCCACCCTAATGTACATACATTAGCATGCCACATACTACTTAGGCTACCAACTCATCCGACTACTATAGTAGTAGTCACTTACTACGCGTAAAAGTTGAAATGCATCTGCTATTTTATATGTATATCGATGGTCCTCCGCAATAACGACACAACTCAAAATTTCATATTTTGGAGTAAAGCCCATTAATGATTTTGTGTTTCGTAATTTAGCAATAATATGCCTTGGAATGTATTATTCGCAGCCATTCTGTAGGGAAAATTTGTAAGCTTTCAAATTATGACTTTTTCTAAGATTTAGTTAGGATTGGACTGAAAAAAAGGGCAAGAAAAAAGCCCATATTCCTGATAATATGAAAGTTTTAAACGTTCCATATTTAAATTGGGCGCCACTTATATCAACTCACGTCGAGTGCACGTTTAGTACATTCAAGGTTTTTTTTTGCGAAAATCGAATGAAAACGCTGCCAGAAAACTTCAAAATGCATATTGTAGTTCAATGTTACTACAACTATAGAGATTAAAGTTTTTTGAGTTAAAAACTCGAAAGGAGAAAATAGTCAAAGATTCAAAATACAAATTTTTCATATAATGAAACTATGTAGTTCATAGCTTTTCTCTTTTTACTTGCAAAAAAATTAACATTTCTAAAATAAATGTATTTTTTGTTTATTTTTCGGTTTTTTTTTTTTAGTATCTTATTTTGCCTTTTTTGCGATTTCTAGTGCCTTTTCCTGTCTATTTCGTTATTTTATTTTGGTTTTTAAGTCCTAAAAATCCGTTCCCGGGTTATTTATGTATTAATCGAATCCGCTATATAACTCAAAAACATGAAATTTTAAGTTGTGCCGTTATTGCAGAGGACCATCGATATATATATATATATATATATATATATATATATATGTATATATTTTTACATACAACACTACATGGATATGCGTGGCATTTCGCTGTAGTGTGGTGATGGTTGTGGTGAAATTTCTCCACCACTTTAAGTTTATATTTACATATATACATACATATGTACATATGTAAGCGCACGCGAGTGTTTTCGTGCGAATGAATGAAAGTATGGAATTATCCATCCATCTCTCAATGTGGCTAGCGACGACTACTCATTTCATTGTTTTTTGCATCTTTCTATCTTTCTTTTTGAGAAAAGCTGCTGTTGCCGTGTTGTTATTGTTGTTGCAACTTTTGTTTCAGCAAACGTTTGATTTGTAAGTTATTGGCTGTGTGTGGTTTATGCCAATTTTCTCGACTATATACCTACTACAAGTTTGCTGCTGCAAGCCTTGGTGATGGCAAAACGACTAGCAACAACAATAGCAACAGCTACTTACATACATACGTATCTATTGCTGTACCAAGTTGCAATAGTCATTTGCGGTAGTTGTGACTAGTTGTTGCTACTTGCTGCTGTTGTTATTTGTTGCAGCTTCTGCCATCGCTGCTGCTGCTGTTGTTACTGAAATTTCTGTAGCGATTAAATGCTACGTAGACATCATCCAGCCAATTGAGTTTTATTTGAAATTTTGCTCCACTTTGTATGGCAATACAATGCATATGTATGTATATGTGTTTGGTAGACCATCCCTGTGGGGAAAATCTCTAGTTCTGAACTGGGGCGCTTCTAGTACATTTAGACCCAGTACTGGTTCGCGATAAATCTCTTTTGCATGCAAGCAACTGGCGAATTTAACATGGCGATGTCCTAGGAAGTGTCAATTGCCCCCCGCTGCATCCCTTTTTCGATAGTTCCGAACTAGTCCTAAAATCTATAGTTCCGAACCAGTTCTAAAATCGACAGACGAAAGAAAAAAGTATCATGATTTTTCAATCTTTTCGGTTCTTCCGTGTGCGATTTTACATTATTTTCAAAGAAACGTTTTTTCAATTTGAAATTAAATTTGTTTGAATGATTGTAAGAAATGTACGTTTACATACCTTGCTGTAGCTGACTTTGCAGAGGTGCTCGCTGTTATTGCTTAGATTCCAGATGGCCCCAAGATGTTAATATGTTAACACAAAGCTTTGTTTTGTATTACCAAGCTATGAAAAAGCATCTGCGAAGCACAGAATAGAAGCGTATTTGAACGAAAAAGCCGCCGAACACATATCTATGTAAAGTAAACAAGCCCCCCGCTGCATCCCTTATTCGATAGTTCCGAACTGG